TGTTATTATAGATTAGTTGTGAATTGTGTATTTCTTAGAACAATATAAACACAAAGTTTACCTATTTTATTTTGGACTTTCAATGAACGCACGAACTACTCTGGAGTCAAGTGAATTTAAATAAATCTGATAAAAGTCTGGAGCTGATCTGATGATGCAGCCGATAGGCAGTCGAGGGAACTCCTCAACGGTTAACAGTAGCTATCTTGTGTTTGGGTTTGATTAATTTGTATTGATGCGGACTTTATACCTAGGTCTGATGATGAAGTACTACCATAGTTGAGGGAACTCCTCAACGGTTAACAGTAGCTACATTGTGTTTGGGTTTGATTAATTCGTATTGGTGAGAAGTTTACACCTAGGTGTGGTGTGGTTGTCACTAAATGTCCATTGATGAAGTAGTACGATAGCTAACAGAACAATGGTAACAGTAGCTACCTGGTGTTTGAGCTTGAATAATATGTATTGATGAAAACTTTGCACCGGTGAGGATTGTACATAATATAAAATATACTAGTTCTAAACTAAAAATAAAAAACTGCGTTTAAAAAAACCGACTTCAAAAACAAAAACAAACAAAAGGTAAAAACTAAAAAGCAAAAAATAACTATTATTGGTCTTACGTACTTACATATAGCTTACAAACCCACCGATAGGTTAGAAGTCGGTGCCGTATATAACGTAGGTGAGCAGCCTACACTAGGTAATGCCAAAAATGCAATCAGTAAAATGTTTGTCTGTCTGTCTGTCTGTTTGTTACAGAAACAAAAACTACTCGACGGATTATAATGAACCTTGGTAGAATTACTTTTCATACTCCTGGGGAGGTCATAGTATACTTTCCATCTTGCTACAATCAATAGGAACAGAGCAGTGAAGGAAAGTGTTGAGAAAACGGGAGAAGTTACTCCATTTTTTAAGCTTCCGTCGCGTATACAGGCTTAATAGTTAAAGCTACATAGAAATCATGTATAACGGTAATGTCGTACATAAAATTATCTAAATAATATTCCAAAACAGGTTAATAATATGTCTATCTTTTATAGTTGACTCACAATGACACGTGTAACTCCCGATAGCTCAGCAGTTCGGAGCTTTCTGCTTATATTTGTTTACTCTTACGTTTACAATACTCATCCATAGACATCGTATGGTTGAAATTAGCTCGACTTGAAATTATAAATGTGAAAAATGTGAGTTTATTTATTTGTTTGTTACTCAGTCATATTAAAACGACTGGAGAGACCAGAATGAAATTCGGAACAGAGCTAGATTATGGTCTGAAGTAGTACGTAGACGTTTTACCCCTAGGATCGCCACGTTTCTGACAAATATATAATATTTCTATATTCTCAGGAGAGACAGGGCACAACTACCATTTTGTATCAAACACAAAACAAGTCACTAGGTAGTACAAACGTCAGGATCACAGAATACTGTCTATGTCGTATGTCTAATCTAATAATATGATGGCCAGGCACTGTATAGTTGGGCTCGCTGTCATTGCAGCGGTAAGTCCCCTCTTTCAGTACCTAGTGGCTTGAGAGACGCTACGGCGTCCTCACCTATCGCCTGACGCAGGTGCTTACCGGACGCAGGAGTATCGGTAGGTTCTTGATTCGGATTGGGCGGGAGGTAACGCCCGGGTGTCGTCACTGCGAGGACCGCCCGGAGGACATGGTGGAGCATACGGTACCCCGTAGCAGTGTACCTAACGTGGGCTGAGCACCGTCGTGTTCTCAGGGATGTACTCGGCGACGGCGACCTCTCGCGTCCGGGTCTGGTTTAGACGATGGTGCGGAGCAAGGGGGATTGGAATGCCATCTCTTCTTTCTGCGAAGCAGTCATGTTTGCCTAGGAGGAGGCGGGGCGCGTAAGGGAATGAACCTCCTCACGTTGCGGAAGAAGCTCCGGGCGTCAGAGATCGCGCCGCGCGCGACGATCTCCGGCCACCATAAGTGTGGGTCTGCGGACCAGAACCAGACCCGTGTGTACGGCACGTTTCGTTACGCGCGTTTACTCACGATGCCCGGCTTCAGTTTCACGGTACGGGGTGGTTTTTAGTCAGTAAGGGTCTGACACCCCTCTCGTCTCATCCATGGCGGGAGAAGGATTATCATCCTTCTCCCTCATCGATCTATCGATCGTTGGATGATTTCCCCCTCCTCAATAAAAAAGGCACTGTGTATTGACCGATGGCCGTGTGTTTGTGTAGTCAATAAGCTACTGACTAAGGCACGGAAATAAAACGCAGGAGTATTAGAAAAATATCACTTTATTGCTTAACATAACAGTGGGAGCACAGCTGTGCGTATCGCTTATTGTCTAGTGTACTGTACTGTATTGTCTACAACAGTGAACGACTGAACGACTCGTACGTACTACATCTGCTTACACTATTTGGCACCAGGTTACCGACAGCCGACACCATACTACTTCACTCACTGCGCTCGTGTACTTTAACTCAAATCACAGCAAAATGCTATCACAATATTCGAACTGAAATGACAGGAAACTTGAAATACAACCGATCGATGTACAGATACAATGTAACGGGGTGATATCGCACTCAGTCTGCGTCTCGCACCTGTATACGTCTTAATGGCAGCCATTACTCGGCTCGAGTTGATAGCACCACGTCTCTCAATAACTTCGCTACAAGACAACAAGTCACTACTCAACATCCTAGAAAACATATCTATAAAATATAGTCTGTCGCACTAACTACGCTTCTCAGACCCGACCTACGATATAGTAGCTACAGGAATATATAACAACAAGAGTGTGCCTCGGCGACACTTGCGACACTTGCGACACATGCGACACAAGCGACACTTGCGACACATGCGACACTTGCGACACATGCGACACTTGCGACACAAGCGACACTTGCGACACATGCGACACATGCGACATTTGCGACACATGCGACACTTGCGACACATGCGACACATGCGACACATGCGACACTTGCGACACATGCGACACATGCGACACAAGCGACACTTGCGACACTTGCGACACATGCGACACCGTCATGGCACACTACCTAAATTCTTTGAACATCCTCATTTTACTTATTCTACATACATAACATAATAATATATCGCTTAATTATGTTACTGTTTCCTACGTAATATGGCAGTCTGTACTCGTTATCAGTATATTAGAAAACAATATAGAAACTTATGAGATATGGGCAGACCTTTACAAGAGGAAGGCAAGTCTCGTGACTTTAGTAATAACAATGGCATCACACGGCATCGTCCTCGACCCTCCGGGATATGTGCTAGAGCTCCGTGTGCAGGATGAGCAGCGCGGTGGCGGGCGCGGAGTCGCGGCACGCGTGTGCGCGCCCCGCTCGCCCTCGCCTCGCCCCGCGCTCTAGTCGCGCCCGGAGCGCTTGTCTCTTCCTGAAACAGAATATTAAACATTAAGCTAATTCACTATTCGTTTACCTGATTTATTTACTATGTTAAAAAAGTTTTATACCTATTACATTATACCTAGAGGTTATATAGCGTCGCTTTAAAACTCGGCTTTGGCAAGTAAGTTTATTGCCTAACGCGCAACGTTCAACCCCCAAACCAGCAGATTGTTCTGTTTGCAAGTTTTTTTAACGAATGTCATAAAATCCTCGCGTGTATTTGGGCTTCACACATTCTGGTTTCTGAAATGAGCTTTAGTCAATCTAAGGATTGCCCGGAGGGCCTCAGGCAGTCTTGGAGGAACAAAGAAACCATGCAGTCCATTACGGATTGTTGGAGGTATGAAATGACCCTCTGGCGACTTGACGGTCGAGCACAGAAATATTTTATTATATGTATGGGTCTAGTCCAAGTTGCAAACAAATGAAAAGTTGGAAACAATGAGCCCGAACACGACACTCCGCGGCAACAGTGGTATAGTAACCGCCAGAAGCCAGGATATACGAAACGTTGATCTGTTAGGCTGGTGGAAATAATTTATTTATTTATTTATTTATTTATTTATTTATAATTCATGGAGGACTTACAGCATATAAAAATGGATAAAAATAACAATAGGCGTAGGTAACAGTGAGCCAATAACAAGTCCTCACGTTTAACATTTGAAATAAATTAATTAATATGGTGTGAGTACTATACAATATTAAAAATACATACATTCTGCGTAAATGGAAAAAAATAAATATTGAAACAGACCGTACAGACAATATGATTATGAACAGATCAAGAGAAACGATAAAAAAAAAACTAAAGATCTAGTGCTGCTTAAAAAATTTAAGGCTTAAGCACCTCTTTGCCGAGTTCACACTAGTTGCAAACGGATCGAAGTCATATTCCTTACAAACATTGTTAAAGTGTCTGCTTGCACGCACAATGTAACTGTTCTGCCTGTAGTTAGATGAGGAACGGGATACGTGTAAAGGTGGATTAAATCTAAATATTTTATTAGGTACATTAAATTTGATTTTTGATAATAGTTCTGGACTATCCACATTGCCGTTAAGAACCTTAAACAAGAATAGACAATCTGCAATATAATCTGTAATATAATCTGAATAATCTGAACTCCTAAAACAGTTCTTTATTTTTTTTTTATGGAATAGGAGGCAAACGAGCAGACGGATCACCTGATGGTAAGCGATCAGCGCCGCCCATGGACACCCGCAACACCAGAGGAGTCACAGGTGCGTTGCCGACCTTTTAAAAAGGAATAGGTAAACTCTTTTCTTAAGGGTTTGAAGGTCGTATCAGTTCGGAAATACCGCCGACGACAGATTATTCTACAGTTTTGTTGTGCGAGGCAGAAAGCTACGTGAGAAGCGCACAGTTGTGACCTGCCAACCATCTATATGATGGGGATGCATAAATATGCTGTCGTGAGGGTCGATGGCGAAAAAATGCGGCAGGTATCAGGTCAAACTCCACAGAGCACCCCGTGGTAATAAGCGATAGAAAATACACAACGAAGCTACACCTCAACGCAGATATTCCTGAATCATCAACTAAGATTAAGTCATCTTTCAAGTAAATAATTACCCGCTTGCGTACTACGACGCAAGTTGATGCAATATTAAGTATATGCATTGAAATTGTTGATATACTACACTGGTCAGCAAATAAGTCGAGCCACCCGCTACCGAGGAACTCTGATTCGATTTTCTCGTAGTGTGAGTGCCTGGGTAGCGGGTGCTGTTCAGTGTACTTATACTTTAAAAGTAGTATACGTGTTTCAGTTCTTAAGACACCGGACCTTTGTGCTCCACCTGGCTGGTCTCCGACAGGGAAAAACAGTTCGCTGGTTGTTGTACTCAGCATACTAAACAGTATATGGGTGAATGGGTGTTAGGAAGGGGGCGGAGTACAGTCCCGCCAGCACTGACCTGCTAGAAAATTTTGTCGAGTATAGTGTACATGCGCAGGTTGGCCTTCTTGCGCCAGCCGGGCGGCGGCCGCTCCGCGTCGTTGCAGTCGCTGTCGTCGTCGGCGGCGGACACCGCGCACACCGCGCCCTCCTTCTCAGCCGGCGCGCACTCGCCGGCCAGGCGCGCGCGCGCCGCCAGCCGCCGCGCCATCACGAACGCTGCCACCTGCAGCACCACGCCCAGCACTCCGAACACGATAATCACGAAAGCGTTGTTAGGCGCCTCCCGCTCCACTTCCTGCAACACGAGGGACCTCAGTCAGTCGGTGACGGTGAGCGGTGCGCCACGCTATGTCCCCAGCTCCAGACAAGTACAGTACCTCGATCATGTCGTAGAGCGGGCGCGCCACGTCGCGGTAGCGCTCCATTACGAGCAGCGCGGGCTTGAGGTCGTGCAGCAGGTCCATGCCGCGGCGCGCCAGCTCGGCCTGCGGGGCGGAGCGCCACCAGGCCGCCAGCGAGGCCCCCATCCACGCACCGTAGCCCACCTCGCTCAGCGCGAGGCATACCACGCCGGCCGCGTACTGTAACATCAATGCTCTTGTATCGCCATTGCCTTCTGTCTGCCACGCGTACACTTCCGACTTTATAATATATCCATGATTTGGGCCAAGCCACGATTATATTTCCATTAAATGTACGATAATGAAACCTGATAGATACCTAATCTTTTTCATTAAGTGTCATCCAGTTTCGGTTGAATGTAATAATTGTACCTACATGGACGTATTACCTACTAGGGCAGGGATACGTACGATATGCAAGCAGTGGCGGGCGCTGCGCTGTGCGGCGGCGGCGGCGAGGTAGACGAGCGCGGCCAGCCACACGCCGGCCGCGAACACGTAGGCCGCCGACACGCGGTACTGCGCCGCGCACAGGAACCGGAACCACGTGTACGTGCTGGGGTCCCACGCCAGCCGCGCCGCCGTCGCCAGCAGCGCGCCGCTGTACATCTGCGGCACGAGGACCCACTCATCACTCGGTATTTCAGACTCTTAACGTCATCCCACATCTAATAAGCACGCCTCCAACCCAGCAATTAAGTAGTCATTTAAATATAAACTTTAAATCGTATGTCGTATGATATATTATTTCATAACGTCAATTCAAAAAGCCGACGGCGGGTGGTCAGCGCGCAGCGCGCGTTCCACTCGAGTTGTCGTCGAGTCAAGGAGCCGGCGTGCTTACGGCTCGTCGCCCGCGAGCCGTAAGCAAGCGGTAGGCATATTCGAAACAACGCTGCGCCGGAGCCGTGCTTTATAAATGTGCGATCACCTTTATTCGACTGACTGCGTTTTTTTGAAATTTTAATAATATAATAAGGCCCGCAGGGCACCTTGAGGCGAGGTGACGGGCATTAGCGATCCCGCAGGCTACCATCATACCGAGTGCTCCAGGGAGAAGTCACCGTTCCTTCTTCTCCGGCTTGCCTTAATTGGCTGGCTAGAGTGAACGATGACAAGGAACAGGGTCTCCCACGTCTGGCTTGCCTTCATTGGCCGTCCAGAGTGGAGTCGCGAGAGCAGTGATCCTGCTCGGAGGGTAAGAAACTATTCGTAAGTCGCGAGTGGGCCGATGCAGGAGGATGCAGGAGGCTTCGGCTGGAGCAGATGATCTGAGTAGAAAGCGGTGGTAGTTTCTTAACCCTTCAGCCACTCACATTCTCGTTGCCCCTATGTTGCTATATCTAGCAACCATTCCCGGGGCCCGGTCGGTGTGTTGGCGAGTCTCCGCCTGCCATTTTTACGCGTAGTAATTACATTGTTTCGGCAGGTGCCATAGTCATCCATAGTTCCCCATTTACTAGTCCACAGCAACCCATCCATAGCCCTACCTTATTTTCCATTATCCACAATAGTTCTACACTAACCGGGGACTGTCCTTGGGTGCATTCCCATAGTGCATACAGGGATAGTCGCCGGTTTGTGTGTCCATTATATTTAGATTAAAGTTGTCTAAAGGGCCTCTGCGCAGTTAGCTTCGGCCCCTCGTACGCCTCCCAAATGACCGGGACCCTGTGGCCCCGTGAATGGTAAAGATCTTAATAAAATTATTCTACAATCAGTGTTTTACTGACTGCCTCCCCCTAACCTTGTTAAGTAACTTTTGCTGTATTTTCTGACACATTCATACGTGTAGTTGCATGTAAGTCCTGGGTTTAAGCATACCTTTTCAGGATAAGTCAAACATTTGTAGCTGTACTGTTACTATGTAGACGATTAGTAGTTACGGAGATGTGAACCAGATAAGGGGGTTCAAGATCAAGGGGGGATCAAGAGTAAGCACCCAGATACGTTTCATTTACCAACGACTCTACACAATTTATACAAACAACACACAAGAGCTTATTAACGTGCGTACAAAAAGCGTTCGAGTAGATAGAACTGCATAGATCTTATTGGTATTAACCATGTGTTCTTGGGACCAGCGCTTTTATACCTCGACGCTTATATATATACTAGCTTTTATCCGCGGCTTCGCTCCCGTCGCAAAAGGATAAAAAGTAGCCTATGTGATATATATATACCAATACACTGTGCCATCTATACCAATAATTTCGTTTTCCCTCGAGAACATGAAATTTTTCCGGGATAAAAAGTACCCTATTATTTAATCCAGACTTCTAACTTTACGTCTGCAAAATTTCAAAGCAATCGATTTAGTAGTTACGGCGTGAAAGTGGAACAAACAAACAAACTCACTTTCTAGTTTATAATATTATAGTAAGGATTTGTATAGTGCTACATTATCAACGCCAACAGCGACCTAACACCCAAAGGCCGGGATTAACGAATTAAAAATGCAACACGTTCGATACTCCCAAGCGTACGGCTCGTCGTGTTCCCATCAGCCATCAGACCAGCACAGATGGACCCCAATAGGGCTGATGCCGATACGGAGTCGCGGAGAACCTAACGGGTTACCCGGGGCTCCGGCTCGAAGTGCAGTAGTAGGAACGGGGTGTTTTTAGTCAGTAAGAGTCTGGACACTCTCGCCTCACCTGGGCGGGAGAAGCCATAGGATCAAAAAATAAAACACGTTCGATACTCGCGTGATGTATTCGAGAAAAAGTCCCAGGGCCCAGGGAAATCGAGGGCAACCCCCAAATTATAAGCAAATTTACGTTTATTCTGACAATGGCATGCAGTTATTTAACCATTTGCATGTGATGATCATCATTTCATGTCAATGAGCTGATGATGGAATATATAACTCTTCAACAGTGAGAATTTAAAGAAAATTCTTTGAAATTTATACTAATATATGGTTCGAAGAAAATGTTCTTTGAGGCTATTAGGTTGACCTGGTTATAGAACGCTCAGGTTTTAGGTAGAAATATGGCGTTAGGTATATCTTCCTTGTTTTATTATGTCCATATTAAATTAAAAAGTAAGAAATAAATAAAATAAAACTACCTACGTTTAAAAAAAGCGAGCAAGCAAAGTTCAAGCCCCTCTTTTTTATGAAGTCGGTTATTTTAATGAGAAAAGACGCACATTGCGGCAATAGTTTATTTTAATTAATTAATAGCTTTATTGGCTTTGATAAAGTTGTTATTATTGGGTAAGTAAGTACATATTGTTATTACAACCGTGATCCGGTATTGTATGCTGAAGTAGGAACCGAGCGACCCGCGGACACGGACAATGGCCGAGGACTTTGGCTCCTGCCGACGACGTGACGACAGTGGACAGGCTGTTCTCCGGCAGCACAAGGAGGTCGCGGCACAACGGCTACATCTGTACTCGACTGCATTCTATCGCATTATCGCATATCTCACTATCTCGGCTATTCGCCTGATTTGCTACAAAGTGCTCGTTCAGAACCAAATCGCATAAAATGCCGATAAGAGTGAGTGGTCGCGTTGTGAGCCGAGTTTCTGGCCGATATTAACATACCAGTGTAGGTCACGCGGGTTATCTCGGGTCATACATATACATTTTTATTGCTATGAGCCTAGCATATTAGCCTGAGACATATTAGAGAATGCGTCATTCTGCGAATTAATGTTTAACTAAATTGCATTGTGAACAAAAATTTTACTTTAGATCAAGAAAAGTTACTCTGTAGTCTGTTGTGTACCTATATGTCGCATTACATTACGGCTAGCTGTTTAGCAAACCAGGGGAGTTTGTAACAAAAGGGCTGAACGAATAGCCGATTTGGGTACTTGCCTTAATCAAAAATAAATTATTTCGACTGTTCAATATAATACAATATAAAAAAATAATCACTCCTTCATTAGTTGACTTTAGGACTAACTTAATTTTAGTATTGTTCCAGTTAATTTTTAAGCAATAAATATGCTGTTGACACAATACACAATCTCATACAAAATTCATAGAAAGCTGTCGTTTTTGACAGTTCCAAAACAGTATTGAATTTGACTAATTGGCAAGTACCCAATTGAATACGGCTGAGTCAAAATCAGCAAGAGAAAAATATAATTATTATGTAAAATATAATTGTATAGCTAGCCGTAATGCAACAGAGTGGTCATTGTGCCCAATTTATAGTTACAAAATGTAACACGCGCGGCGCTGCTTGGCGTAACAATATTGTTTTCTTATTGGGTGTTGTTCTCGTGGTTCCCAGCGGTAATAAAACTGATAGCGGCTGCACGAAATTTTCAACTTTTGTCATGGATTTTCGAATGTAAGACCGATGGTGCTGTCAGAATGTAAATCCAAGATGGAAATTATTCCAAGATGGAAACGTTGAAATTTTTGTTGGTATTTTTTTTATGGAATAAACCGGTAAAAGAGCGGACGGACCTGATGGTAAGCAATCGGCGTCGCTCATAGACACCTGGAACACCAGAGGCGTTACAAGTGCGTTACCGGCCTTTTGGGGATTAGGAATTTGAGGATTGTTGGGGATTCAGGGATTGGGGAAAGGGGGGGAGGGTAATTGGGCATCCGGTAACCTCACTCACACGAAGAAACACAACACAACGTTGTTTCACGTCGGCCTTCTGTGATGCCGTGGTAGCACTCCGGTCGAGCCGGCGCATTCATTCGCCGAAGCATGGCTCTCCCACACTTTGGTATGATCTTAGATTAACATTATGACAGCATCATCGGTTTTACCACCCTTAAAAACCACGAAAACGACACCCATGACGACTATGTTGATAACTTTGTATAGCTGTCAGTGGAATAATGCTTCATTTTAATATGTACTACAAAATGTGATAATGGTCACCCAGACCATCCATTGTAAAATAATTACAATGAGGCTAAACGTGTGCTGTCATATTGTAGAACGTTTCGCATTGACAATACGGCTAATCGGCAGACGCCGTATCCCAAAACGGCTCTGCTTTTCTAATGGCTTGCCGTAATGTAATATAATACAGTGGATTATACTATATTTCGCCTGCGACATATAGAAGGGGAACTGATATGTCCCGAATATAAAAAAAAGTTGTGAAAATAGTGCTACCAAGCTTAATGCTATACAATACAATACACAAGCTGTCCATTCCTAGGCCTAACATACAGATCACCCGGAGCTTGTAATAGTCATAACTTTGTTTGTCTTATCGTTATTTGTCGTTGTTTGTCACCTGTCACATAACTTGCTAATCACTACGTGTACATGTGGCTTGTACTCAGGTAGGCCGGTGGGTGAGAACGAGTGTAGTACATAGCGTGTCTCTGGTCCCGCATGCCGCCAAGTGCGCTAATGTTGATTTACAGCGTGAACTGTTCCACTGAGCAAGTCTGATCAGAGACCCTGGGATTGGAAGTTTGGAACACAGTGCAAGCGTGGCGACGACGCGACGCCGCGCTGTGCCATGAATGACGTCACAGCTCGACAATTTCCAAGTACGATTGGTCACGCAGTCACGCTACTAGTTTGCTTACTCTGCGAAATATTAACAATAAGGCTCTCGGGTTGTGTTTCCTCGAATGATTTGCTTATGTAGGCATACGGAGTAATGTGTATT